TCTGTAGCAGACAATACTTGGTAAGAAGTCAGGAATAGATCTTCACTCTAAGGAATTGAACTAATTGTCTCCAGCAAACTCCCCTCCCCTTTCGCTCTTTTATTCCCTATGGGAGGGGCCATTCGCCATCCACCTGTGGCTTTACTCCCGAGTTGACCCTTGTTCCTTAGCTGTTCCCTTCTCCTGGCAGCTCTGAGTATGTGCATTTTGGGAAGAGGCTCCAACTATTCTTCTGCCCCATTGATGTCTGATTCCGAAGGCAGCTGATAACTGTTGGACAGCCCTGGCCTCCACTCTGCCTCCGACACACAGTACTCATCAGAGCCTTCCCCAGACTCCAGCACTGGCCCATGTTCCTCCCCAACCTCCTCAATGTCTGAGACTGCCACCAGCTCTTTCTGGGGGGGGGGGGGGCACAACAAAAATGTTTCTTAAAGATTTTGTTTGAATTCTTTCTAAAACAATCATACTGTTTTTATGGTCTCAATTGAGTTTCATATAGCAGGTGTGCTTGGGCTTTAAGTGCAAACAATTTAATTACGGTGGAGGTAACTATGAAATGAATTTAAAGAAATTAAAGGTGATTGAGTGACTTTGAGCCACTCTCAACTCATCTCACAGGGTTGTTGGGAAAACAGGAGGAGGAGGGTATTATGTATGTTTGTTCCCTTGAGTTATTTATACAAGCAATAAAAGTGGGATAAAACAAATATAAAATAAAGATGTTTATATATATCCATATATATATAGTTATCATTAATTTTAGCTAAATTATATAAATTTAAATAATTACCTAAATATTTAAACTTTTATTGGAATTCGGTATAAGTCAGCTCTACCCTTTAATCTCTCTCTCCCTCTATTTATTAGATTTTCATCCCACCTTTATTATTTTTATATATAACTCAAGGCAGCCAATATACTTCCTCCTCCTTCCTCCCCTCTTTTCCCAACAACAACCTTGTGAGGTGGATTGAGCTGAACGATAGTGAGTGACCAAAGTGACCCAAGGTCAAACATCCAGCTTTCATGCCTAAAGCAGTGCTCTTATACAGGAGACCAAAACAATTTTAATATACAGAAAACTGATTCAGCTTATTTACAAGTAACACACAGGCAAAATGACTTTGAAAAAAACTAGAAATTATTTAATGAGAGCAATGAAAATTATACATGTTTCATAAATATACTTCAGTATAATTTGCTTTTATTTAATAGCCGGGACTTCTCTTTTCAATTCCAAAAATTATGTCCTTTAAAAGTACAATCCGAAGTAGAATGAAAATCTGAAAATTGAGAAAAAAAATGAAGATCATAAAAAAACTCAATAAAATGAAACAATACTCATAGTAAAAGCTGAGAGAAAAAAATTATAGAGACATGGACCTAGAAATACAGAGTACTACAACCTTCAGATTTTATACAGAAGTTTGGATGTTTACATTACATACATAAAGGGCAGATAATAAATTTGCCAGGTTGTTGGAAGGAATAATTTTACTAGTGAGTGTACACACAAAATAAATGGAGATTGTACAGTACCAAAATTTAATGGGTTGCACATGGTGGGAATAATTCACTGAACTATTCAAGCTCTAGTGGGGGGAGGGGGGAAAACCACCCCAGGTAACTATGTAAGTTTTCAATTAGTTTTCTCAGCTTGTCTATTGAAAATAAATGTTAATTAACCTTTTAGTTCTGCTGTAAATCCACAGTGTACTATTTATAAAGCACTGTTCGGTATAAAATCTAAGACTTCCCACATTTTAGTTTTAAATTATCACAGAAAACATAAACTCTTTTTTTTTAAGACAACAGTAATCAAACCTGATGGCTAGCAGCAGCTTCTTCTTACTGATTTTTCAGAAATAAAGCGGCACCACATTGGATCCATTGATCTTGATTCCCTCCACATGGGACATCAATGTTTGTTACCACGCAATCCCTTTCAGCACTAGTGTAAACAGGCAAAGATATGCACTCTTCAGGGGAATAGGGCCCATAAGTATTCTGTCAACAAAGAATCAACCCTTTGAATTAGAAGATACGGTTACAATCATTTTTACACACACACCATATTTGCCCCAAAATAAGACCCTGTCTTATTATTTTTGCAACCAAAAAAGGCACCGGGTCTTATTTTCAGCGGAGGGTCGTTTGTCCACTGACTCACATCAGTTGCATGCATCACCTCGGGCCTCCTTTTCGGAGCTCTGTTATTGGCTATAGAGGCCTTTAGGAAAGCCTTGCCGGATGGAGAAGAAATAGGCCAACAAGGCAGGTGTTGGGGTGTGTGAGGCCTGGCTGCAACTGTCCAAAGGTAAGTAGTACGGAAGCCTCAACCCCCCCCCCATCCCCACTCTAGCTTAATTTTTACCCGTGCACCCTGGAGTAGGTGGGGTCTTAATTAGGTCTTATTTTTGGGGTAGGGCTTATATTGGGTGCACATGTAAAAATCAAGCTAGAACTTACTTTCAGGGGTAGGTCGTATTTTCGGGAAAACATGGTGTATATAAATAAACACACACACACACACACA